TTAGTAGAAATAACTATGTGCTATAGCTTTGTTGATTTTGATACATTGCACCATGGTCATTATATATAAAGACTCACATATATCACAACACAAATACACAGACTCATAGTCATTGTTTGTAAACAAGTGTATGCATGCATGCATTCATACATTCAGATGATGACCATGCAGGCATGTAAGTAAGCATGAGCATGTACACACACGACTTCCGTTTGTGGGTAGATGGAAGATTCCAAAAGAGAGATAGACAGAAGAGCAAGAGAGTTGGCATGAGGCACCATGAGGATGGCTCCCCAGCTTATGATGTAAGTAGAGTCAGTGTGCCATGTTTTAAAACATAATCAGGCTGTTAGTAATATCCACTTCAGTCAGCAAGGGTAGGCTATGGGGCCTTTGCAAACAGGAACTATTTTCATGGGCAAGAACTCACATCACCACTACTATAGACTTATTGTTAAAAGATGCAGTTCCTCCCTCACCCCATCGGCTGTGGGCACGATGTAATGAATTTTGTTGCACACAAATGGCTCCACTAAGATGTTACTCAATGCTGCTGGGAAAATGTGATTTTCACTGTAGTATTGTTTTGTGGAATGTATCTGCACAGCGATGGCTCTATAAGTGCACAGCCAAGATACGAGTCAGTAGTCTGCGCTCTCACCTGATTTTTCCCCTTCCTTGAGTTTTTAGGTAGATTTTTTTTTTTTTTAATTGCTATTAATATAGATGCTGGTACTATTATTGACATTATGATTATTACAGTATTATTAACAGTACTAATAGCAATATGAAAAATTAAATATTTCAGAAAATTAAGGACAAGGGTTTATAGGTGAGATAGATTGGACTAGTGGTTAATTCATTAGTATCTTAGCACTTATGTAGCCATCTGTGTAAATACAATTGATAGACTAAACTCACACTGGGAATAGCATGTCTGTACATGCCATACCCAGGAGCATTGGGTTAACAGGCCAAGTACTTGCAGATAAATCTGTGTAAACACAGTTAATGAGCTTAAATTACAGTGGACATCACATGTATGTCATGTCATCTTTGCCCAATGAGTGAAGCAAAATGCCAGTTATCCTGCATAGCTCTTCTGTCAACTAGTTAGTAAATACAGAGCAAGTTAATCTTTGTAGAAAGGGGAATGAATTATAAGAAACTGTATATTTTTCAGTATTATATTTAGCATTTGAAAGGAAAATGTATTTTCATATTTGAATATATCACTTTCAGAGGAATGAGAGTAGTTGAAATCATAAGTAAAAATTGTTTTACGTTTGTATTATGATATTTTCTATGTTGAATGGTGACAAATATGTATTGATATCTTTGTGTAAATAAGGTAGGATTATAAACATATGTATTTTTGAACATCAGATCATGAAATGCGATAGTTTGAACAAGCTCCATTGTAACACATTCTTGGGCAGTGAATTTGGATGGCAAAATATATGGCCATGATGGTTATGTGGATATTTACTTTCCAGTTTATTTGATTTAATAGTCTTTCTTATGTATTTATTTGCTTTTTGTGATGACTCTTTATTTATTCATTTGTCATAGTGTAGCTAGGCATAAGTGTGATATGTCTGTAGCAGGCTGAATCAAAAAATTATTTTTTTGCCGAGTTCTTCCAGTTTATTGTTTTTGTTTTTCATTAGTTTGTTGATATTTTCTAGTTTTTGGATAGGAGCAGAAGTCAATGAGACCAATGAAAATGTAGTGTTAAATATTTTTTGTGCTTGCATGGGTGATTTAACCCATTGATGCCAGGATGGTATGTCCACTGTGATTTTAGTTTATTAATTTTGTTTCCGCATTGATGGCTCCACAAAATCCACTAAGGAGTTGATTACTAGTGGTACCTGTCTCACTTGTTTACCATTTCCTTTGATTTTGGAAAGATTCTTTTCCATTGTTTATTTTGAATCATAAAGTTCATAAAGATAGTAACATTATTGCTATTAATAGCACAAAAAAGGAAAAAATAAATGGGGAGTCTGATGAGGCTACTAATTGACTCCTTGGGGACTGAGCACTTGTGAAGCCATCTGAGTGTAAGCAAAATTCACCTACAGTGGACAGGACATGTATACGGCAATAAGAACTTTGAAGAAAGTGTAGAAACCATTTTCATTCATGTGATGTGAAATGTAACGAAGAGCATTTTATATTTATTTGTATTGTTTGATTTTTAGTGAATTTTAAGAAATGTATTTATTTTTTGTCTGGTGATTTTTGTTTAAGGCATTAATGCAATGTATTATTTTTTTATAGCAATAATGATTTTTCTTCTTTTGTATTTATTTCTAATATTTTATTTTTTACTTTTTTTCAAATATTTGTTTAATACATTTTTTTTATTATTATTATTATTATTATTTATTTTATTTTTTTTTTTTTTTTTTTTTTTTTTTTGGCTATATGATTTTGCATATAGTCTTACCAGTATAGTATTTTAGTGATCAATGTGTATCATGATTATTTCTGGTTATTGATGAATGAATTCTAAATATTTTGGTTGAGTGAGTATATAAATTTTCAACACGCAGCAATGTATATATGCATTATTTTTGTTATGTTTATGTATGTGCTGGATTCCCCAACTCTCTTCTTTTGCTTAATGTTTTTTTTCTTTCTCTCTGACTCATAATGTGCATATGATATATTGACCTCAGTCTCTGTCCATCATTGGTATGCCATTCCTGTTGTATTTGTTTGTTTTATTATTATTATCACTTTTTTTTTGAGTAGTAGTTATTGATTATTGTGTTTTAGAAATTCAATTTATTTGTACAATGTTAGAAACATTGTCTAAAATTTACAAGAGATAATAGAAGACTGTCAATGGACAGACCACTGGAAGAAGTCTTTGAACGTCTGTTTGACAGATACCTGGCGTAATTCACCCGCTTACTCCCCAAAATATCTGTGTACATAAAATCTATAGACAAAGATCACAGGAGACCTGGCATATATGTATATTCCATTCCATTTTCATTGCATTAACCCATTGGCTAGAGATACTTGTACTGTTTTCTGTATTTTTTGTGATTTTTGTTGCCCTTTCATGGGAACACAAGTACTCAGCCACCTAGGATTCAAATATTAGCATTTCCCCATTTCCCCATTCATCAAGACAGGTAAGACTAAAAGCACCTTGCTAACTAAGCATTTGCGGAGCCATCTTTGTATGAAAACTATAACCTAGAATTACAATGGACATGGCATATGTATTATGACATCCTCGTGCAATGTGTTAAAGGTTCAGGATAAGCTGAAAAGACAAAACAATAAGAGGAGGTAGGTTGCAGTTATCCTTGTATATATGGATGCCTAATGTATATCCAATAATTTTGCAGCACTTTATCATTTTAATTTTTTATCATGTGTCAGTGGTCATACATCTGCTTCAAGAAGTGTCTGCTGTCACCACTTAGTAACACTTTGTTTTTGCAGCATGAATTGCCTCTTGAAGCATGATTTGGAAATATAGATATTGGCTAGAAATGGAAAATTGGGTCAAAGAAAAATTTGTCTGCCAGTGTTCCTTGATTACTTTTTTTATTGTATTGCTCAAGGCTGCTATTTTTGGATGAGTATGACTTTTCAGGATATGGTTGTTTTGCACATTATTGGAAAAAAGAAGAAGATAATGCTGAAGGTCTGAAGTTTATTTATATGGTGAAGCCTTATTTGCTGATCACCAAAAAAGTGTTATGTTTGAAGAGATTGATTTTAGAGAATATGAAAGGCTTTAATCTGACATAAGGATTGTGATTTTTCTGAATGTGACTACAGGATATATGTGGCTAGTGCTGGCAGTGAAAATTGCTTTGTAGTGAATATTGGTGCAATCTCTCCTTCTCTCTTTTGGTGTGTCTCCTTCTCTCTTTTGGTGTGTCTCAGATAGGAATCAAAGTGATGAGAGCAGAATCTGTGGTTATCAACCATCACTGCTTATATCATCAAGCATTGTTAGACTTGGGAATTTTTGTATGCAGGAAGGGAAGCCACATTGGTGAGATAACAGGAAAGAATCCACAGTGTAAACAAAATCTTGTTTTGTTCTGACCACAAGATACATCACTAATCTGGGTTGGAATCCTGTTGCGTTTTCTTGATTTGTTTACTTGCAGGTTTTATGCTATTTATTCCATAGATTAGATGTGAAAAGTAGAAGTTTGTGAGATTGGTAGGCAGTTGAAGACTTAAAGAATGAGATGTGTGCTTGTGCAGTCTAATGAGAGCTGTAGAGTGTATGTTTTTCTCAAAGTATTGCTTGTGGAGCCATAGGTGTACATCTTTCTTTTAGATCTTAGAACTTGCTCTTTCAAATAACTTGAAGCCACCATGGAAGTTCCATTTGTAAGTGTTAGTATTAAGTGGAATTTGGATATTTCCAAGTAAATAGTAGTGTACTTAAGGTAAATAATTGGGTTTTATGTTTAATAGCATTTGCTGTAAATGTAGATATAATTTAAGATACATTATCAGATATTTTCACAAATTAGTCACTTAGCTCTAGATAATCTTATTTATAGGAGTTTTACTTACCATCCCTTCAATTAGTCGTACAGTGTCCCCAAAAAATAAGCGAAAGAAAAAAACTCTAGTGCCCTTATAATGTCTTCTCTGACTTTTGATCATTAAATATTTTGCTCAGTAAATTATCTATTCATTACCTGGTTAGATATGAAGCCAGTTTGGTGTTGTAGCTATTTAAGGCTTTAAAGGAAAGATGTCTGGATATGACGGTTGTTTGTTCTCCTTTATAGAGCTCTAGACAAGGAAGTGAAGGTAGTGTTTGAGATTAGTGTGTGCTATGTGTGTATGTGGCAGGAATGCCCTGTTAAGTTAAAAACTGACAAATCATTGTCTTATACTGTATGAATATTTAGACAATAATTGGCATACTGAAGAGTCTTAGCTGAGGTTTGAATCTTTTTAACTCAACCGACAATTTCTCTTTCCTCTCTGTACCTATGCAGAAACGACGCAAGAAGTCCGAAATGTTTAGCAGAAAAAAAATTCACGCCTCTCGATACTGGCGGTGGAAGATGGCTCAGCGGGAGCTTGAGCGGCAGCAGCGGGAACAACAACGACATCTCCAGCTGGGGGAACGGGAGCAACACGCAGCAAGCACAACAGGGGGGGACTCAAGGGGGGAATGATGACCCCATTGCAATATCCATGTTACCAGGCTACCATCTTTTGTCCCAGAAGGAAAGAAAGGTAGGAAAATGAGTAGTTTTTGTGTTCTGATTGAGATGATGATGATGATGATAATTTTTTGTCCTTTTTTTCATTGTTATCATTATTAATATTACTGTTGCTATTATCCATTGTTATTATAAGTATTGTTATTGTTGTGATTATCATCACCACTATCATCAATATTTTTTGTTATTGATTATTTTTTTTATGGTAAAAGATGTTAGATGTTATCATGAGTTGCTTGTGTAACACTAATACTCTCTGATTGTGCATTAGCCATGTACTTTGTATAGCAGATTTGTTTATTGTTTGAGTGTCTTTCCTCAGGATTGCATTTGTCCTGTGATACTAAACAATGGCATTTTTATTTTTTATGCTTTTCAGTATTTTATTGATTAGGACAATTTCATTTCTGTCTGATTATCAATATTTAGAGACCCTCCTCTGTTTCTCACCTTATTCCAGTGCTGTCACTGCATAATAAGTAATGTCACTTCTTGCATAGAAGTAGTTAAATGACAGATTTATGATTGTAGTTCTTTACTAAGCATTCTTACCTATAAGGAACCCTGTCCATAACAGTAATTAGCAGTAGCTATCATGCATGAATCACTCGTGTTCTCTGAATTATTATTACTAATGATGAATTGATAAATTATGAAGAGTCAGTTGGTTTCCATGCATATTTTTTAATTTCCATTTTGAAGTACTTGTAGGTTAAATTTTGAGTATATGTAAAGCAAATTCTTAGTTCATGGGGATGTCATGTGCCATGCCATGCCAACAGTGAGTTTAGTTTATGAATCGTGGCTCCATAAGTACTAAGTCACTGATGAGCCAATTGTGAGTACTACCTATTTACCCTTTTCATTGATTCTTAAAAATATTTTTTGTATCTGATACTGATGTTAGTAATATTGGTAACACTACAATATTGTCTATAATAATAACATTGATATTGATTAAAAAAAAAAAAAAAAAAAATCACAAAAACTGAGGGAAAGGTGAAATCAGGGTAGGTCACAAAGTCTACTAATTGACTTCTTTGTAGCGAAATACTTGTGGAGCCATCTATGTGCACAGACATTTAACAGAGTAATGCTGCAGTTAATATTGCATTTTCCCGGTGACAGTGGGGTAACTTTATAACTTTCTGAGTCCAGATTTTTCATTCCTTCATAATTTGAGCCTTTAGAATTTGTATGATATACAAGTATTTCTCATTAGCATTTTTTAACAATAAATTAGTACATTGCTTATTGATTTTTTTAGTCAAGATTCAAATTTCATAAAAATGTTATATGATTATCATGATCATCATTCAGTATTTTTTTTTAATATTATTACATTTATTGCAAGCTGTTGGTTCATTACAACATATTGATAACACAATATGTTTTTTAGTGTTTTACCTAACAATAATAAAGTCAGGTGCTCTTACTAGAAATAAGACATGACTTGTAAACATTTGATTTAAGGGCAGTTTTTTTTTGTTCATACAGATTTCTGGTTCCTTTATACCATTTGTTTTAATAGGTTATTGGCAGATAAGTTATTTTGCAGAAAAGATACAATTACTAATACAGGTGTATGATTTTCAGTTGTGTGCCTCCTCAAATATCAAGCCATCACAGTACATTGCTTACAAAGCTGTTTTACTTAAGGTAAGCAAAGCATAGAATGTAATTTGGTCATTGTTTTAATATATAACTTTTCAATTATTTACTACTAAAAACACAAATTTATATTAATATTTACAAGGGCCTTGCATTAGAATGGCTGACTTTGATGACATTATCCCATTCACCCGGAATAAGTTTGGCAAGTGGACATGATTGCAGGATTGTTGGTGTGCATCATCAGTTTTCCCGCTTGTGCCCAGCTCCTTTAGTAGTTTGCGAGCTTTTATTTTGCTATAAGTTTTAATAATAATAATTTGAAGGTTTACCTTCACTTTAGGTGATATTGCCTAAAAGGTTTACCATATAATGAAGCGGCTAATATAAGAGAAAAACAAGCTGTGTCCGATGAGCCAATGGCGCGGGAATGGTTGTGATACGATGCCATCTGCTAATCTACAAATCTGTCCACAACAGCCATAGCATGTACATGTACATGCCACCTGTCGGGAAGCAGTTAAAAATAATGACTTGTATAATCTGACTTTGTCAAAGACTAAAATTAGGAAAGTTATCGGTGATATAGATTGTAATTAAACATTTCCTTTATAATAATTGAGTTTCTCTTGTTAATCCTTTTAATTATTATAATTTTTTTTATACTTTGCCTGCAAGGGTTATGAACTAGAATAGGGAAAATTTGAGACATGTATTTAAAAGAAAAGAGAATTACAAACAATATTATTTGTTTGCAGGACGAAGGCGACAAGCGTCAGGCAGGTGTTGGATCAACTACACGTGGGGTGTATGCACTCCCCAAGGCCTAGACTCTCACTCTCAACGCATGATAACCACTTTCATGACCCAAGCGGGCTGGATCTCCTCGTTCACATGACCACCCTTTGATTTTGGGATCTGAGCAGCTGGATCTACATCTACAGCACAAGAGTCTTGGGCATGTAGATTTTGAAGGCATTATTCTGCTGCGATGATCCCAAAATAATAAAAATACTAGGATGACATTTCAAGAAAAATAAAAGGAATAATGGTAATCATATGAAAATAAATAGCTAAAAGAGGGGAAAAGTGTTCACTAAAGAAACAAAGGAAAGAAAATAGAAAAATATTTGCAGTTTGAAAAGTCAAGTCTTGCATCCCCCCATTTTTTTTCTTCTTCTTCTTCTTTTTTTTATCATAAGGAGTGATACTATTGGATGCTTAGCTGGTTCACTTTTATGCTGATTACATATCGGAGTCTTTTAGGCATTTTGTATGAGAGCTCCATAATTATGTCATTTTGAATACCAGTCAGTATTCCTCGGAAAATTGTTATATATATGTGGAGTTTTCATATAGTGAATGTTAAATGGTGTTAATCCATGGAAAATCAGTACAATACTGATTAGATAAGCCTGCCCTCCCTATGCTCCTTTTGATTCAGTAATGAATTTTGGTAAAACTGAGTTGCAATATTTGCATAATGCTTGTACTGGTGATGGTGATATTATATTTTAAATTTTACATATTAGCATCTGCAGGTATACTTTCTCCTTTTTAGACACATGCACTTCTTAAGTACCACTAGTAGCTAAGTATAGTATAAAAGGATATTTGTAATCAAAGGAAGTAATTGATTAAACTTACTTTTTAGTGTGGATATTGTACCTGTGAACATGTCCTCGTATCTTTCAAGTTCTTTTATTTGTTTAATTGATATTCTGATGGAAAACCAGGCGAAAAATGCAGTCAAGTGCAGTGCTTATTGATTTTTTTTTTCTAGTCAAGATTGATTCGATTTCAGTAACATTTGATAATCAACTCGAAATATTATTTTTTCATATCAGTTGCTGATATTTTGCTCACCATTATAACTTTTAATGTTCAGAAGGTGTTCATCTAATCATTGTATAATTTGGTCACTGAAAAGAAGGTGCATACCAAGAAATATTGTTTAGTTTAGATTTAAGGACATTTAATTTTTATACAAATCTTCTGTACCTGGATATTTATCATTTTTAAGAGAGATGTAGTATTTCAAGTTTGTTTTTTATTCTTCCTTTTGTATGGTGTTTAGAGGTTTGAAAAGAAATATGGCTTCAATCACAACTATTTATTCCAAAGCTTTTTAAAGTGGTGCTGTAACATACAAACAAAACACTCATCAGAACAAGGTGATTGAACAGTATGGGACAAGAGTATCAAAGAGCATCGTGTATATAGAATGCCTTTGGTTTAGTGACATTATTCATGTATTTATATATATAAATAATAATATATATAAGTCTTGCACAATAATGCCATAAATCAATAGCTTATTAAATTATTTTGTTTGGAGAGATCATTTAAAATTTTACTAACAACCTTGGAATAGAATTCGCATATTATATTACCTTTCATAGAAAAAACACATCACTCAAATTCAAACACTTATCTACACACATCAAACTTCTTTGGAAACATGCAGAAATGATTGCATGGAAACAGCTTCACTGGATAAGTACAAATGGAATGTCAGAAATATTAAGAGGAGTGTGACCTTAGATACACACTGAGGACTAACCAACCCTGGAGTTCTCTGTGTCATAAACAACATACACTGGTGGTGCAGAGTTGAGAAAATTAGATTTGATTTTTCTGACAACTTCTCACGTCCACGAATAATGTCTCCTTTACTTTGTTGACTAAACTGAAGCAAGGAATATTTTGAGGTATAGTTTGGAATGTTGATAATATAAACTAATAGGAACACAACTTTCAAAAGAAATTAATCTTAAAGGTAGTATAAATATTACAAACTTTTGGAATGAGAATGCAACCTTACAGATTACGAGATAAATTATTAGGACTAATTATTTACACACACTAAACCATAACTTTGGCATTTAGCCTTAATACTTTGGAGATGAGGACTCGTTAAAGTATAAATAAAGATAAGAAACTATTCGATCCCTGATCCATATAGATTGTCTCGATCTATTGTAGATATGCTATCATTCTTGGCATACACTTCTACCAAATATTTTAAACATTGGTATTATTGGCTAAACTGGCAAATGAAAAGGTTAGGCACAAGAAATTGATTTTGGCCCCTTGTATTTGAACAAAATGTTTGGAATGTTGGCAACTAAAGAAAACTACTGGACAATATTTTGGCAGGTTACTGTACAAGCAAACAAATAACAATAACGAGTAACAAAATCAACTGGGAGTTGAAGACATCACAGACTAAAGGAATGAAATTATATTAAACTAAATATATCAAACCACTGAATCATTATATACACACTATATACATAACGTTAACTTACAGATTACAGAAGAGTCTAGGGCACGTTGTCAAGGCACGAATTTTTAAATTTCAAGGCAAACTGTGAATGCATTACGAATGGAAAATAATAGAATAAGTAACCATTAATATGAACTACAAGCTATGACATACATTGCACTCAGCTAAGTATTGGAAAAGTTTTCTTGAACAGACACACCCTCATGTAAAGACAGAAGTCCCTTTTAACGGGAAGTTCTGCATGCATTATCGCACCCCCAGGAGCTTCGCTGCATCATCCGCCGATTTAGATGTCAGCAAATGATCGACAACTGCTCGTCTTGTTCCAAGGAGGTTGGAGATGAAGTCAGACCCTTCGGTTTCATCTTTGCGCTCCTCTTTAATTTCAGTCTTTATTGCTGGCGAGGACAAACTTCCCTCTTTCTGCTCAACAGCAGACAAAACAGGTGAAGAGTTTGTATGCTGGGTTGTAACGTGCTGCTTTAATTCAGCAAGACTCCAATATCGATTCAGGCAGAACATACAGCTCACCTGTAAAAGAAGAAAATTCTTCAGCACTTCTATTCATCATATAGTGCAGTTCAGTAATTCTACATACTGACAAGTCAATGTCACTGTGTGATTTCAGCAATCAGGATGCTCAGAGGACACTGAACTTACCCTCTCTGTGGTAGTTGAATCTGGCGTTGGAGAAAGGGGGTCGTTGTTGTTCTCAGCTGTGACCGGTTCTATACTAGTAATTTTCTGAAAGTTTTCTGGATGGGCTTCTTTGACGTGCTGTACTGCCACCTCGCGACTTGCAAGCGGTACTTCGCACACGTGGCAGCGGAACGGTCTAGCGTCGTCCCTCGAGATGGCCGTGTCGCTTGCCTTCTCGTGTTTGAACACTTCGTGCTTGCGGAGGCTCTCGAGGCTGGTGAAAGCTGCACCCGGACACTTAGAGCAGCGGTAAGGGCGGTCGCCGCCGAGGGTGTGTGGGGAGTCGGGATGCTTTCTCAGGAGGTGGCGGTCGCAGTTGGACTTGGTGGTGAAGGGAAAGTGGCACACTGGGCACAGGTATGGCTTTTGTCCTGTGTGAGTGCGGATGTGTCGCACAAGGGAACTGGACCATGGGAACTTTCTCTGGCAGAAAGGGCATTTTTGTTTTTGTGGCGCCGAAGAATAGGCACTGCGCTTGGCTTCTTCCGACATTGTGTTGGAGGAAGTGGAGTCATCTTCACCAGGGACTTCCTCCTCCCCCTCACTGCCAAAAAAAGGGAAGCTCTGACTGGAGGCAGTTGAGAGGCAACGTGTGGACGCTAGCGAGGTCAGCACTGCTGTCTTCCCGACTTTTCTCTCCACTACTCTCCTGGCCTTCCTCTTCTTCCTCGTCCTCGTCGTCCTCCTCCTCATCTTCCTCTTCTTCTTCCTCCTCCTCCTCCTCCTCGCCTTCATGACCATCATCAATGACTAGCTCCCTCTCTTCCTCTTCTCTCTGCTCCGCCTCCTCGCCTCTGTCTTCAGCTGCGTCCTTTTCGATCTGATGATGAGCTGCTCTCTCACTGTCTCTGAAATCGTGTGTGGAGTGTCAGAAACAGACGTGGGCGTGTCCGACTCCGACCTGGGCGTGTTGACTCCTCTTGGCCGGTGTTGCCAGACGTCGGGGTGCTGCTGCTTCATGTGTCGCTCCATGTTGGAGCGGAGAGTGAAGCCCTTGTCGCACAGGTCGCATCTCCACGGCCGCTCGGTCCTGTACCGCGCTGTTTGGGCTTTTTCATGAGGACGGAGTTGCGAATCGTGAAATGCATCACATCCTCGTCGCCAGGCTTGGAAATGGGCGTGGACTGGCTGTCAGATGTGGACGAATCCTCGGATTTACTTTCACTGGAACGGATGTCGGGTCGGGGGATGCGGAGGGGTTGCGGTGGGCGGCGACCATCGCCAGCGCCGACAGCGAAAACGAAGGGGAACTCTGCAGGAAGCCTCCGCTTAGAAGCCCGCCGCCGGACGTCAGCTGTAGGCCGCGCTTCAGCTCTTTCTGGTACTCCTCAAAGAAGGCGGGGTCCAAATTGCGCACGGGATGGTGCAGGCCGTTGTAAGGGTTCATGAGGAAGGAATACTGGTGAGGGCTGAAGGGACTGCACAGCGGCAGGGGCTGGGGTACATGCCCAGGGAGAAGGGCGGCTTGGGGATTTTGAGCACTTCGGTCGCGGACTCTGACGTTGGTTCGGGGCTCTTGGCCTCGTCGGGCTCCTTGCACTCCTCCTTGCGTGGCTTAGACAGGTCCTCGGGCTCGACCTGCTCGCACTTCACGTCATTCACCTCGATCTCCTCGTCGTCGTCGTCGTCCTCCTCCTTCCTGTCATCCTCATGCTCTCTCTTGGAGTTCATGCTGAGATCCAGAGGCGCGTCCTCGTCGCTAGCGGAGAGCACGCTGGGCACGGCGTGAGTGTGGGCGTGACGGACGGCGTGAGCGTGCGACCAGGAACCAAGGGCGTGGGAATTCCTGCGTTGTGCGAGAAGGGCAGAGGGAGCGCCGGCGGCGGCGGCTGGTGGGAGGTAGTGAGGGGCATCGCGGTGAGAGGCAACTTGGAGAAGCTGAGGAGCGACTCGACGGGCGTGAGGTCGTGGTGGTCCTGGTGGTCGTCGCGGGCGGCCTGGCTCACAACGAGGCTGTCGAGGGTGGGCCCCGTGGCGGCCTCCGAGTGCTGCTGGATCACGTGGCGCATGACGTCGTTCTCGGAGGAGAAGGCGCCGCCGCACAGCTTGCACGAGAAGGGCTTGGTCATGCCCTCGGGGTGCGAGGAGCGGATGTGGTCGCGCAGCACGGACCGCGCCTTGCAGTCGATGTGGCAGATGTGGCACACGGTGTCCAGGGAGCGGTCGGTGCTGGCGCCCTCCTCCTGCGGCACGTACGTCATGCAGCCCTTGACCTCGTCCGCGACTGGCGCCCGTGGATGTTCTTGATGTGGCGCTCGCAGTTGGCCTTGGTGTGTGAACGCAAGGTTGCACAGGTTGCACTCGTAGGGCGTGTCGCCCTTGTGGCTCTTCATGTGTTCTTTCAGAGTGTTCTTGTCGTTGCTGAAGAAGGAGCACAGGTTGCACCGGTACGGGGGAGCCACCATGTGGACCAGGTTGTGGACTTCAGCTTGCGCATTGGCGAACACCTCCTTGCACAGCTTGCACGGGTACTGGCCGTTCAGCTTCATCTCGCGGTAGCCTCGCGCGAACTGCTCGTCGTGCGAGAGCCCCGGCGCCGTGGACAGCAGAGGCGCCACGCTGCTGGCGGTGGTCGTGGTTGTGGCGGCGATGCGGCCGGCGGACGGGTGCTCGGGGACGCCTTCGCGGAGTCTGCCGGCGCGGGCGAGTGCTGGCCTGGGGGCTGCATGCTCAGGTGCGGCCCCAGTCCGCTGGCGAAGATGGAGGCTGCCATGGAGGTGGCGGAGGCGGACTCGGCCTCCTGCTGCTTGAGGAGGTCCAGCACCCTGAGGAAGCCCTCCTTGCCCGGCTGCGGCTCCTCGCACAGGTGGCGCTGGTGGTGGTGCGACAGCTCGACCACGTTGGAGAAGCTGAGGTCGCACCGGAGGCACCTGAGGGAGGAGGCGGACCCCGTGGAGGCGGCGGCGTGCTCGCGCATGTGCATGAGCCACGACTCGGCGCAGGGGAATGTGATATGGCACAACTGGCACCTGTGCACCCCACCCCCTCCCCGGGCTGCTGGTGCACGCGGTCCGCTCGCAGATCTCCTTGGCGATCAGCGGGAACTTGGGGCTCGAGAAGTCCGTCAGGGTGAGGTCCACCTGGGGTGGCGACGCTGTGGACGTGTGGTGGACCATGGAGTTGTGGAGGTGCAGCGCCCGGTAGTTTTTTGAAGCCCACTGGCAGGTGGTGCACGCCACCTGGTACTCTGGGTGGATGTTCTCCACATGCTGCTCGAGGGCGTGTTGACTAGGCTGCTCCACTCCGCAGGCGGGGCACGTCAGCTCCTCCTCCTCCACTTCGCTGGCGTTGAGGCGCACGGCCTTGGCGGACACACGCTCTCCTCGTCCTCCAGGTGGCGCTTGCGGGGCGACGACGTGTCCTCCTCCGAGGCCAAGTCACTGTCGCCCGTGTCCGAGCCGCGCGCCGCCACCGCCGCCGCCACCGCGTTGCGGTAGTGCCCCCGGATGTGGCGGTGCATGTTCCCATTGGTGGTGAAGTGCGTGCCGCAGATGTGGCAAGCGGAACGGCCGCTCGCCGGAGTGTACCAGCATGTGCCTGTCCAGCGAGCTGTTGCTGCTCAGCTGCTTCTTGCAGATGCCGCAGCAGTACACTTTGGTGCCGTTGTCGGTCTCGATGACGTGGTTGTGCTTGCGGATGTGCTGTGTGAATTCGTGCTGGGCCGGGAGCACCTCCTCGCACACGGGACACGAGAAGTTTCCGGTGAGGCCCGCCTCGCCCTCGCCCTCACTCCCGCACGCCGTCTGCAACGAGAAACAACACTTGATTAACGGAATGGCCGGCGAAGTGACCCCGACCCCGCCGCACCGCACGCCGCCAGACGGCAGGTGCGACCCGCCGCCGCTACCTGTCACCCTCGCCGCCGCTGCCCCTCCCTCCCTCCCTCCTCTGCCTCCCCCCTCCCGCGCAGCGGCTTTCCTCGCTATAATGGAGCGACTGCAGCGAGCGACGGCTCAGCGGCCGTGCTCGCCGTATCCACTAGGCAGTCCTCTGATCACACACGTCACTAAAAGCCTTGTTAGCACTCGCAACACTCAGCGATTACACTCTACACATACATCCACACTGCACAGAAGACCAAGCCCATCCCGCCGAGAAAAGGGTGCGGAGGATGTGGTTGCGAGTGCAAGGATCTGCGTGGCTGATGCCCGCCTCACGCCATAGCTCGGCCTCGGTGCATCACCGCGGTTTCTAAGTAAACTCGCACTGCGGCCTCGCCTGTCGCGCAGCCAAGTCATATTTCGAATATTCTTAACTTGAAATAAGCTCATGAAAAAAACTGCAAAATTCTATTTCTAATAAAAACAATAATAGTCTTATGATTACTGCTATCAATATAACGATTACAACTACAACAGCAATAACAGAATTTAGTAACACTTGAGTAGCAGTAACAGCAGTAATTAATAGTTGAAGTAGAAGTATTAAATAATAAATGCACAAAACCACTATATATATAATAATAAAAGTGACAACTAATTAAAATCAAGAGCAGTGCTTCACTTCTTGGCCTCCTTCACATCCCCCACCGCCTGCCGCAAAGTCCTCGCACGCCATTCCCTTCCAAGAGGACCTGCCTCGCTTCCACCATCCTTCCGTGGTCTTTCAAGGCAAGTCTTCCTTCGCCAGGAGAGGCGTCGCGTGAGCCAGAGTCTCGTGTGATGACGCCCTCCTATTTATTTATAAAGACCGGACATTACGGCCGCGCCAAGACGGGATGTCCGCAGGATTCCCCAGCAGAGGCATGAGGAAGGCGAAGGAAGGGGACCAGGAGTCGGGAAGGAAGTGCTGACGGCGGAGTCACTATCACACACGAGGAAAGTGGATCGCGCAAAGTGGAACATCACAGTGCGCGTGGCCCGAGGTGCGAGGCCAAGGCGCACTCCACTCGCCCCGGGCCCTTCGCGCGCCGCCGCCGTCTTGCACTGACTCGGAAGCCGCTGGCGCCAACTCGGGAATGTGCACTAAGTCCACACGCAAACACACACACACACTATCGAGTATAAATGCACACCAATAAAAACGACTAAGTGTATGAATGACTCTTACCATGTTAACACACATGGATATCACTCGCGAGAAGCTAGGGTGAAGTAGATCCGAGTATTGTTGAAGCATCCATGAGTACAATAGTCCATCTGAGTACACAAACACAAGCAGAGCCTCATGCTACTGCTGCTACTACTACACGTGGTCGCGCCACCACAGTCACAGCACACTGATCACGCACGCTCGGACTCGCCTCCGACACAGCGCGGGGCGTGGCGGCAACTTCAACGCTGCGCCGTGACGTTACGCGCCGAAGACTGCGCCAGTGTCCATCGGCAGTGACCAGGAGCCGGCACTGGTGGGGGAGGGGCGGAAATAGGGGGGGGGAGGAGGAGGAAGAACAGTGCCCTTACCTCGACTTTGTGAACCTTCGCTGCTTCCGCTTCTTGGCTCCTGAGAGAGGCTCTTGATTGGTCAAGATGTTACTCTCTTCTCTTTCACTGGTGGGCTGGAGGCGAGCTGCGCTGTGATTGGTGGGCTCATTGGCCATGTGGGCGGAGTCTGGGGTCGGGGGCGCCTCTGGCGAGAGGGGGGTGGAGTTGTGGGAGGAGTCACGGGTGGGGTCACACTCCGCCCTCAGGGGGAGGAGCCTGGGGGGGTCAACGTGCCCTTAGGCTCTGGAGACGCTGTTGCCGCAGCCATGTCTGTTTCACCTGCGGGAGAGAACAGTTCTTAGATGAGTGCGCCATATGGTCAGTACGCACAATGCTTCACAATCATGAATTACATAACGCTAATAGGGCTGGATTCGCACACCCAGCGAAGCGCGCATCTGCTATGACCTTTGATCAATAACCGATACAGATCGATTTCGTAGTTGCGTCTCCGCGTCTGATGGTAATTTTATGCAGAGGACCCGAGCACGCCCTTGTATACACAGGGAAATATATTTCCACCACTCGTACATTAACACCTTTGATATGATGTGCATTTTAATTTCCCGCTCGTCCAGCTAAGAAACTAAAATTACTAGCAAGAAATAAAAAGTCCACGTAATTCCTGTATTTATATAATACCGATCATAAGAGCTAATTCTAACCTATTGCCACCTTACGCTAAAACCTCATGAAAATCCTTCTTAATTAAATGAAACCAGAAACTCACAAGCACAATGAAAAAAGGAAAAAGTTGCTTTCCAATGCACGCCACGAGAACACGCGTTTTTCTTATCTTAATTTACTGTTTGAATACCTACTCTAATTTACGCCCTTGCTCTAACAAACCACGGATTTAACACTAAGCATCTATTGAGTTCATTTACTTTGATTCTACACGCTTAATACTCATATTAAAGCGATAATTAGGTTCTATATACACGCATGCAACCTGTATGTTATATACAATAAACACCTAAATAAACAAATAAACACACAAGTGAATATCGAATTTTGAAAATTTCTCCATCGTGTTTGTAAGCACAAAATTTATTTATGTTTAATCTACATCGCATTTATTTACAAACTAATAGCAAGTTCACATGCACTTTATTTAATTACGCGACTATCACAACATAATCTTACAAACCGCACTATTTTCTACAGACATAATTAAGCAGATGAAAATCTATCAAATCGCACCTTAAATTTCTTTTCCCGTAAACAAGAAATTCAAAAATATGAAGTCACGGAGTTCACCCTTATTTATAATCATAATAAGAACTATGTTAATGAAATTTAGCCGAAAGTAATGTTTACGAGAGGGGAGAGGAGAGGAGAGAGAGGAGAGGAAGGAAGAGGAAAAGAGAGAGAGGAGAGGAGAGGAAAAGAGAAGAGAGGAGAGGAGAGAGGAGATGAAAGATGAGATGAGAAGAGAAGAGATGAGAAAAGAGATGAAAGAAGAGATGATAAGAGAGGAGAGGAGAAGAGAGAAGAGGAAAAGAGATGAAAGAAGAGAAGAGAAGAGATGAGAGAAGTGAGAAGAAAAGAGAAGAGGAGAGAGGACCGGTCACTTACAGAATACTGGTTGATGATCTGGAGATGGAATCACGCCGAAGATTTTGTGTCGGTACTCTTCTGTTGACACTACCATGTCTACCACTCTTCACGTCTACACACTAGTACAGTAATTAAAGCTTGTACCAAAACACTGCGGCGACAAACAAAGCTGTCTACTTAATTTAAATAAAACATGCGTTCTTTGGTATACAACACTGACACCAGGTAAAGATGAAAAAATATATAGTAACACTTTTCCTGAGTCACCAGAAAGCTCTACTGGCTACTTCACTAGTTGCACTAAACAAAACGGCCAACTATTAACAACCATTTCACTGGACGGTAGTTGTTGCTATAGCCCTACCCTCAAGGGCAAAGACATTACTCGGGGAGAGTAATAACGTTATGACTAGTGAGAGGGTGAGAGAAGTACTGAGATGTGGCGAGCCTCTCGGACTTATATACCCTCCCGCCGGTTATCGCGTACTAATTTCTCTCCCTCTTATCTTTCTCCTTCCATTTCTTCGTGCGTTTAAATTGTTATATTCAATGCAGAGCATAAACTATGAGGTTAGTCATGTAAAAATAAAATATAAAAATTGAAACGATCTTAA